GCTCGTTCGTTCAAGTGAATCTCGCGATATTTTATCAATAGTTTCATTGGCGGGGCAGTGTACTGCGCTCAAGGGGGCGCTCGGCGGCTCAAACCCCGAAGCCTCCATTGAGCTGCATTTAAATCTCAGGCAGATTTGTAAAGTATAATAGTTTAACTGTAATAAATTGATATCAGACATACAAATGGAAATCAGCCCTAATAATCTATATAAGGGAATCTGTGATCGGTCAATCCTCCTGACCAGCGTTGAGAAAAGTATCTTAAAACACGTGACAACGCAAGTCTTTTATTTTCGGTCGTTTTAACAGCTTGCACCTAAATAATCACACTGAGGAACTTTAACATCGCTAAATATAAAAATTCACAAAATTAAGTTACAATTAACATGACGTTAAATATTTTGACAACCACATGGTATCTAAACCACGCCAAGGTCTTCTATACTCTTTGCTGACATTTCATGCTGAGGAAGCCACATAAAACTTACAGGTTTGGATAAAGAAATTGTGATGTGTGAATTTTTTTGTTGTTATTGCTGGCCAGAATACTGATGTATTATCAGTAATGAAAATGAAAAGGTTTGTTGGAAATCGCCTGTGCAAATGTTATATTCACACGAATATATTAGAAGCATAGAATATTCCTAATTGAGTATTTTATAAAACTTTAGCATAGTTTCTTCTTATAGTGAACTATTTAAAGACGTCATTTACCACTGAGAGAGGATGCTGTGTGGTTTTGAGCTGTGATATGAATCATGCACTTCATGCAACAATGAGACAAAACCAGGAAAAAAACGTGGTTAGAGATGCAACGCCTTCACCGTATGTGTGTTCAAAGTCACTAGGACCTCTTCCGTCCTTGTCAAGGGGAGTGCCAACCTTCTCTCCTTTCATACAACACGATTTAACGTGCACATTCTCAGAGAATATAAAGGTCGGTAGCTGCCCATAATGCTCAACGACGGTGACAATTTTAAAATTGAAAACTTACTTCGTTCTTATGGTATGTATTACATATTGTTGTGTAGACATGTTTATATATACGTTATATACGTATTATTTGGATTTATGTTTTTAAAAAGTTATTTTTGCCATCCTTAGGCGCCGCGCATTGCTTTATTATTTGCATATCCGATATGTCGACCAATCACAACGACGCAACAACATACGCCACAGACTCTTGCCCAGGAAGTAAACACAAGCCCGAATGCAGTGTAAAAGCCGTTGTCGCCAAACAACTGTACCATGTATGTTGTGTTTTAATTCTCGATTTCAAATATTATTTATTGACTTTTTAAAATATTCACATGTGAGTTTTCTTGTAGTCTTTTTAGGTTACTGAATGATACTACATGAAAGTTAAGCGCTAATGGTTTGCGATGTTCTTTTGGCCATTAACACTAGTAAATTTCAAATGAACGAATTAATAAATACATATTTTATTCTGAATTCTTATAAAACAATTTGTATTAATAATATTTGTTTATAAAGTTAACACGAGTTTTCAGCCATTTTGCCACTGTGTTAATCGTAAAAATGATCAAACTAGGATATAATGCTAATATACAATTAATTGTGATGTCATGCAGGTAGCTTCAGATTTTATACACACGTTTTTATTTAGCTATCTAAATGGGGACATTGCATAGACTTCTGTTGTTTTTGTATACATATATAGTTATATATTTTATGAGCTAATCCTAACCCACACCCTAACCCTACCCCTCACAGAGAACTTTCTGTATTTATAATTTCAAATGAACGAATTAATAAATACATATTTTATTCTGAATTCTTATAAAACAATTTGTATTAATAATATTTGTTTATAAAGTTAACACGAGTTTTCAGCCATTTTGCCACTGTGTTAATCGTAAAAATGATCAAACTAGGATATAATGCTAATATACAATTAATTGTGATGTCATGCAGGTAGCTTCAGATTTTATACACACGTTTTTATTTAGCTATCTAAATGGGGACATTGCATAGACTTCTGTTGTTTTTGTATACATATATAGTTATATATTTTATGAGCTAATCCTAACCCACACCCCAACCCTACCCCTCACAGAGAACTTTCTGCATTTATAAAAAAAAAAAAAAAGTTTTTATTTTTATACCAGTTTTACAAATGAAGACATCCCCAAAAGGAGGTTTTGTCAGGTTAAGCTCACTTTTTGGTACAAAATTGTCCCCAAAATATGGTTAAGTACGTATACACACACACACAAAGTGATACACTGAGACAATAATTCATTGATTTTCCCCCTCTATCTTTAATTGGCACAGTTAACACATACAAAGTATTCAGTGCTCAAAAACACAAGCATAACAAATAGAACACAAACAAAAAAATGGCAAAACATACATTTGGCAGACCCCACCAAACGAGACCAAAAAAAGTGTTTAATTCATTTAGCAAAGCAGAGAAAAAAACTGGGACATTTTTATTAATCAAAATTTAAAAATAGACTCTTACCATGGATTGGTAGTTCACTCTTATTTATAGACTTGTACGTATAGATATACATATATATATATATATTTATAATTCTCTGATTCGGGAATGGTGTTTTGAAGCCCCAAATAGAGCAGGTAAGGGCCGAGGGCAAATGATGCTTGTCACTGACAGGTGTGTATGTATATGTCATATGGTGATAGCCAGCAAAGTATAACAATGCTGAAAAGGCTAAAATGAAGTTGTTTAGCAATTGTTTTGTTCTCAAAGAGAGACAGAGCACTTGAGAAAGTGTGTATGGTCGGAAGACATATGAAATGACGTTTTCCTCTTCAAGATGGTGAGATGTTCTCCGCTTTCAAAACCATTTCTTATTTATAACACATTCCTTCGCCAAACCACAGGTATTACAATAAAAAGGGAAAAAATCAGTTGAATTAAAAAACTCCAAGTCTATTCTTCAGGTTAAGAGAGCCATACAAACGCTCACAGCTCACATGATGCATGTTAAATGTCTGGTTAACCTGTACATTTGGCTCAGAGTACATTTAAACCATTACATATATATATAAAACCGGCGAAACCAATGAGGTTGCGAGGTTCTCGGCTGGGTGCTCCACAGGGTAAAATCATGAAGACATGAACAAAACAGCTGTCACAATAAATACATACCCATATCAACAGGACATTAGCATATTCATGAGTGTAAATATAGCCCCTCCCTTGCCCGACAAACAAAAACAGCGTTTGAGCATGATGATTGGACGGTTAAGGTAAAGCGGGAAGTCTTAATAGATCAAATGAATGAAAATGTAAATCCCTGAAGGGACACTAGATAAAAATGAGTTGGATATGATGGCAAAGAGACAGACAGTATTAATAATTGCACTGGAAGGGCGGAGACAGAGGAGGCTGAGAGGCTGCTCAATTCATTCAACATAAAACATCATAATTCATCAATAAGCGCTTTGTTAAACATAATAAAAGCATTCAGCATTAAATAGCAGATCTGTGGCATGTGTGAATTTTCATTTCCACGATGCTGCCTGTAGAGATGTAGATGTTTTGGGCTTCAAACCTACTTAAGAATCAATAAAAAAAATAATAATAATAATGATATGATGGCAAAGAGACAGACAGTATTAATAATTGCACTGGAAGGGCGGAGACAGAGGAGGTGCCAGGGCAAGCAGACATGCTATTGGCCAGTGAAGCCCCGCCCCTGATGTGTGCCACAGCCATGTGAGCAACCAATGGCCAGCAGCTGTTATCTTTGGGAGGTGGAGTCAAAGGGTCTAAAGGGGTGTGGCCTGATGAAGGAGTGAGGTCATGAAGAACTTTAATGCTGCGCTCCATTCAACTGGAGAAAGATTCCAGCTAGTGCAATCGAAGGGCACTTAAAGACATTTCACATCATACAAACAAAAGTATGAATGATTTAAAGTTCCTACATCATAAATTTATATATGAATGTTTTAAGCTGTGTAAAACGTGATTTGTTGATAAGCATACACCTGTAAAACATGCTTGCATTGCCATGTTGTTTCTTTAAACACTAAAAGTTTAGAATAATTACAATTTATTAATGTTTTCGAAAGAAGTCTTCACCAAGGCTGGAATTATTTGATCAAAAATACAGCAAAAACAGTAATATTGTGAAATATCATTACAATTTAAAATATCTGTCTATTTTAATATATTTTAAAATGTCATTTATATTTATATTCTTTTGAAACCTTGATACACTAGCATTCAAAAGTCTGAGGTAAAAGTGACAGTAAAGATATTTATGTTACAAAAGATTTCTGTCTTTTGAACTTTCTATTCATCAGATTCCTGAATAAAAATCAAGGTTTCAGCAGCAAAAACTGTTTTTTGCATTGATGATGATAAGAACCATTATTAATAACTGAGCACCAATCACAATTAAGCAGCAAATCGGCATATTAGAATGATTTCTGAAGGAGTAATGATGCTGAAAGTTCAGATTTGCATCACAGGAATAAATAACATTTTAAAACATACTTAAAAATAAAACTGTTATTTTAAATTGTAATAATATTCCACAATTTTACTGTATTTTTATTTGAATAAATGCAGCCTTAGCGAGCAGAATAGACTTCTTTCAAAACATAAAAAATCTTAAATGTTCCCAACTTTTGACCAGCAGTGTACATCATCTTTCCAGCATCAAGCTATATATAGCAGGAAAATGAATGGAACGCAGCACTGTTGTGGTACCAAAAATTCAGCTCCTTTTACAGACCACATTCCCAGGGTTTTAGTTCGAGGAAAGGTGAGGAAATCGGAACAACCGACACATACATACACTCACTCGCACAGGCTGAAAGAAACGTTAGCGCCGTTCAGCAGCGATGAAGAGCCGTAAAGCAAAATGATATATGCAGATCATATTCACCTCATTATAAAATAACAGACAGGTAATAAATCTAAATGCCATAATATTTCTCTGATTCGCTGTTAAAGTTCCTCTCTACAGCAGGAGAATTTAGGCTGAGAGGTCTCTATAGCCTCTTCCTCTGTTCCTCTCTTTGTTTTGTGTCTGTCTCTCATCTGTCTCACTCTAGGGCGGTTCATGGAGAGTAGGCTGTAGTTTTCCGCACATATGGCTGCTGTTTGCCCTGCACCACTGAGTCCTCCTTCCATACTTTACGAATCTGCAGTCATACAAACAAACAAACAAACATATGAAAAACAAAAGCAAAAACATGTTAGACTCGGTGAAGGGATGGATTCATGCCCTCTATGAAAGGCTTTTCAAACTCTAACTAACCCTGGGTTATCTTCTTTTTATTTTTAGTTCATTTCCATTTGTGACCCTGGACCACAAAACCAGTCTTAAGGGTCAGAAATTGAGATTTATACATCAAAGCTGAATAAATAAGCTTTCTATTGATGTATGGTTTGTTAGGATCTGACAATATTTGGATGAGATACAACTATTTGAAAATCTGGAATCTGAGGGTGCAAAAAAATCAAAATATTGAGAAAATTGCCTTTAAAGTTGTCCAATCCACGACATTCTAATTTATTGAGATGCACCTGTATACCCCAGCGACTTAAGACTGGTTTTGTGCTCCAGGGTCACATTTTACACCAGTGTTGTTTCAGTTATATTTATATACAATTATAGTATTTATTAATATTTAGAATTAGCTGTTATTTTTCATTTTAATTGGAAAGTTCTAGCAATTCTGTTATGTGCTTTTGTCATTTTTATTAGTTTTTGTTTTCTTTTTTTTTATTTAAGTTTTTAGTTTTAGAATTTTTTGCTTTAGCGACTTATTTTATAAGTTGTCAAGGCAACATTTCAATTTTTTAAAAAGTTTTTTACGTTTAAATTTGTCACCTAATATACATTTTATTTCAGCTTTATTCCAGTTCACAAAAATGCTTTTTAATAGTTTTAGTTTTAATAACTACAAAGCCTCACACAAAACACAAAAAATAGAAATCTTTCCCATAATTTAATAATTTGTTCCCATGATATATTAATCAGTTCCCTGGTTTTTGGTAAATCATGGTCACAATTTAAATCAATTAAAACAATGTACAACCCGACCACGATTGAACTAAAACAAGGGAACAAATTAATAAGCCCTGAGAACAATTTCTTAATTGCGCTAGTAATTTCAAAACTACAGTGCCAAATGTACACAGCAATTAACCCATGATAAACTAACAGTATGAAACATGGAACAAGATAATCCAGGGTTAAAAATAACTATGATAACAAGTGTGAAAAGCCTAAACACACACATATGGCATACATGCTTAAATGAGCTGTACAGTTACAAAATGAACTGGAAAATGACGATAAAAAACACATAGGATTGTTTGTAGGATGACTTATAATATGCATGATTTGTTGGCAAGAGTAATTCAGTGTTCTTGGTTGAACTCAAGAACAAATGTGACCTGAAACACACTCAAACATGCATTTATGCTGTGAAAAACTGCCAAAAACTCACTCAAACACTCATGTTTTTCTCAACAATCAAGATTTGCATGAAGGTTATCTCTGTCGGTTTGTGAATTGTATCAGGTTTTTGTGTGTGTGTTTGCACCTCATTTTGCAGACAATTCTAACTTAAAGGTGGCATACGTAGGTTCATGCACGTTTAAACTGAAATAAAAGTCGGACTTCAACACTTCATTCAGAGGAAACCACACTTGTGCAGTATTAAACTGTTTTAAATGTCAAAGGCAATTCATTCTAGATCTCTTCAGTCACACACTGTTAATGCACTCAACTAGTACTCCGTCTCACCCTCAGAAAGACAAACCCTTCTCCAGGAAAACACATCTGTGAGGAAACATTCAGAAAAGGTTCATATTCACGTCATATTTCATCTCAGCTCTTAGGAATAAAGATCAGGAGCACCAAACATGATTGTGTGGACGTGGCACATACTATGCAATCATGTTTAATGAATGCATGCATTGCTTTTACACATTTATAATATGTTTTTGTAAATCATATGTTTTTTCCAGGGTTATTTCTTCTTTTTAAGACTCAATATCAAGTACAAGTGTTGAGATTGAACAATGTCAACAAATAATACAGCTAAAGAAGCAAAAAGGCAGTCTCTGTCTAACACGTGTTACACAAATATATTTTGTGAAAAGGAAATTATACTATTTTATGCGACTTGTAAACTGGTTATTATTACTAGTGCTTGACTAGTGGTTATGAAATTGGTTTTTCGGGGGAAAACACTAGCATAATTTGACCTTAAGTTCATTTACATACGAAAACATTACAAAAACTTTTATGCGTCTCCTCTTATGTGTGTGTGTTGCATTTGTCTATACATTTAGTTGGAGTGATCTAACATGCATTGCTACTCAAAATGACAAGATACTACCGCCATATTAAACTATGGTGGGCTAATAATCTAAAAACATCATGTGCTAAGACACATACAATCATTTAGTCATTCAGTTTCAGAAAAAAAGTCTAAAAAGTCACATTGTTGGCTTGGAGAGATTCAGGATCACACACACACACACACACACCCTAGCCGTTTCCTTCAGTGTTCATATACACAAACACACTTCTGAGATCACAGGACCTAAAGCTTTGGGTCATATGTAGGTTATGGCACCTTTGGCGTTGGAGTCCAGAAAGACCTCGACGTAGGATGAGGGGAAATTATCAGCATCATTACTCCAGTCTTCAGTGTCACATGATCTTTCAGAAATCATTCTAATATGCTGATTTACTGCTCAAGAAACATTTCTTCTTATTATTATTATTATTAATAATAATAATAATAATAATGTTGAAAACGGTTGTGCTGCTTCATATTTTTGTGAAAACGAAGATACTTTTTTCAGAATAAGTTGATGAGTAGAAACAGAAATCTTTTGTAATATTTTAAATGCCTGTACTATCACTTTTGATCAATTTAATGTGTCCTTGATGAATAAAAGTATTCATTTCTTAAAAACCTATTACTGGCCTCAATATGGTAGTACTTACTATAAGGTTCCATTAGTTAACATGAGTGTGACGAGAGGGGCGGGGCCGAGAGCCGTGGGAACGGAGCGAGGCCGGTGGAGTAAATCCTAATGGTTTGGCGTTGGAGTCCAGAAAGACCTCGACGTAGGATGAGGGGACGTAACCCTCCTCTTCCTCGTTTCTTCTAACACGCGTCCATCCGTCACCTTTGTCTTCCTCTATTACATACAAGAGCTCACCCTCCGTTACTGAGATGGTGCCTTCATTAACACCTACAGAGAAAATTGGAAGAAAATCAATCAATCAATCCATCAGTAAATAATTCAAATATGTATATACAGTGCAGTTTACAAGTTTGTGGTCAGTAAGATTATTTCATGTTTTTAAAAGAAGCCTCTTATGCTCATCAGAGCCACAATTATGTGATAAAAAATACAGTAAAATCAGTAATATTGTGAAATATTATTACAATTCAAAATAAGTGTTTTCTATTCGAATATATTTAAAATATAATTTATTCCTGTGATGCAAAGCTGAATTTTCAGCATCATTACTCCAGTTTTCAGTGTCACATGATCTTTCAGAAATCATTCTAATATGCTGATTTACGGTTCCCGCCTCCTTCTTCCCGATCTACAAACGTTGTTACAATGAGTTAATGCATTAACTAACAATTTACTAACAATGCGCATTTCAGTATTTATTAGTTAACTAAAATACAAATGTTCATTGTTAGTTCATACATTGATAGATACATTAATAAAAGTTCAAACAAACTAAAATGAAATGCTTAAGTATTTTTCATGATTATTTATAATGTAGTTAACTGATGTTAACAAATGGAATCTTATTGTAAAGTGTTCCTACACATATATGAAGAAATCACTTTTTTGAGGTTTTATTACTTAAGTACTTAAGTGCTTTGTTGACAAAAGACAGTGAGGCAGCTCACTAGGGTTTGAAATGGAGCCCATATTTTTGTTTAATTATGTATTTATATTGTTTATTATGCATTTATACATGAAATACCTTCAAACGGGTAGAGGGCTTTGCAGGTGCCGATGGTGGGTAGTATTTCTTCATCTGCATCATCAAATTCATCTCCAGACTCCGCCGTTTCAGGTTGGACTTTACTCTGGACCTCAGAACTCGGTTCCTCTGTATAACTGCCATCCGGACTGCTCCATCACACACACGCACACACACACACGTACACAATAACTATAGCACCTGTTTGCAAAGTACTGTGACTGCAAAGTGACTGTAAGTGTATGTATATGTTACTATTAACAATAATAATAATCTTATTTGATAATGTTGTGTGTGTGAGAGTGTGTACCTCTCTCTATCCTGTGCACAGTTGTTGTTAGTGGTGGGTGGTGTGCTGTTTTGGGTCTCGTACAGGGCACTTGTCCTCCGTGGAGGGTCACTCTTTACTGGCATCCTTCCTTCGACCTCCGCTAACCAGCCCTAAAACACACACACACACACTCACTCATTTCCACTGAACTGAAGCTCTCATCCAGGCCTGTGCTGCATTAAATGACACGCACCTCGAATTTCTGAGCCTCCGCCTGCAGTTTCTCAATGTTGTGGGCGATCTCTGCCGAGGGTCCAACCTCTCTCTATCCTGTGCACAGTTGTTGTTAGTGGTGGGTGGTGTGCTGTTTTGGGTCTCGTACAGGGCACTTGTCCTCCGTGGAGGGTCACTCTTTACTGGCATCCTTCCTTCGACCTCCGCTAACCAGCCCTAAAACACACACACACACACACACACACACACTCACTCATTTCCACTGAACTGAAGCTCTCATCCAGGCCTGTGCTGCATTAAATGACACGCACCTCGAATTTCTGAGCCTCCGCCTGCAGTTTCTCAATGTTGTGGGCGATCTCTGCTAACCGAGGGTCCACGCTGTTGGGATCCCCCATCTGTGGGTTCTTTATGTACACTTCCTTCATTTTAGTCAAAGCATCTCTGCAGAGAAAAAATACATATATACATTTTGCCGAATAAAACCTGTCAAACTCTGGCCTAGTCAAAAAATATTCCAGAAGGATTATTGTAAGGCATTTTCTACTGAAATGTCATAATAGGGATTCTTGATTTTTATGTTATATTCTTGAGTCCTACTGAATATTGCATATCTTTTTCAAAACTCAATTCATATCGTATTGAATAATGTTATGCTGCTGGAAACTTAAAGATGGCTAAAGTTATATAATTTATTTAAATTTGATTTCTTTTAGAAATAAAGTAATGATGGAAATATATAAATATGTATGCAAATAAATAAGTAAAATAATAAATAAGCATGTAAATAATTAACTAAATAAATTAAATTGTTAATTAATAAATAATAAAGGTTGCAAATGTATGCAAATAAATAAAATAAGTAAATATGTACATTAATATAATAAGTAAGTAAATAAATAAACACATAAAAAAATTAAAATAAAACAAGAAAGTAATTGGTAGGCAGGAATAATATAAAAATCAGAAAAAGTGTACAATCTGCTATAAAAATATCAATACTTTGTAAAATAAGCGGACAAAGTCTTTTTACTTTTTAAAGAGTCTTTATTACTGTCTATGTATCCACTGGGATTTTTGACTAGTCAGTGTATGACAGGATATAGGAGTTTGTGTGTGTTTGTCCATGTCTGTGTACCTCTGGTCCATCTCTTTCTGTATGTCTTTATTGATGTCGTCAATCTTCGCCTGAAGCTTCTTCCTTCTCTGCTCTGGAGGAAGATGACTGAAGTCCTCAGGATTTGAACCCTATGAGGAGACAGAGAGGATGACAGACAAACAGTGAGTATCTGCCCTTAAAATAACTGACACTGTCCTGTTCTGCCAATACATAAACTAATATGCATATGTATAAACGGGGCGGGTCAAACCAGGACACATCCAATCACATCAAGTGGCTATTAAAGAATCTTCTGTTCCTGTCATCTGGTTGGCTAGCTGCCTTTGGGAAGGAGCCAATCAGCTTTCAAATCAAGTGTTTATCAAAGGCAAACCAGATGAGATAATTAAATCTAAGATCAATGATTAACCTATTCAGTCCAATGCCAACAACAACATTGATTAAACAGTTCTCATAAAATAAACTCTTATCTTGCTCACTCATCTTTGAAATCTGATTCTGGTTGATCAGAGAGATTTTGTTTGGATCTGTCCTTATGTGCCCTCTTTCTCGCTTGCTCTAATATCCTGTTCCTGTAACATTGGCTACCAGAAATCACTTACTCTGCCTTTAATGTATCAGTCCTGACTGAACACTCCAGCCACTGCTTTTTCCACATTAGTTCTCTCTGACGGGCATTATTTGCCATTATTTCAACCACATGGTGGCGCTAAAGAGCCGTGAATTTGGGGAGGTTAAACCTGCTGCAATGATTTTTAACCCTATGAAGCCTACTGTATCATATTTGATACACACATTTAAGGCCTCACATTTAAATGATCAACATGATTAAAACCTTGCTATAAAAAAAAACCTGTTCTACACAATCTACTACATGCCTTCTGTCATCTGATGGATACTTTGTTTAACAAAGTAAAAAGCCTTTTAGTATAAATGAGGTCATGGTACATGTCTTTTTGCTGTGAAATCTTAGTAAACGTGTGGATAACTTTTATAGTGATAGCAATATTTCAAGATGAACACTTACTGGACTAAAGCAACTTTATTATTATTATTATTATTATTTGTTCATCTGTCAGTCATCATTGTACTGCATCGCATTATATGTTTTGATCATAAATCTATGCATTTAAATATCATCTTACTCAGACAAATTACTGGGAGATTTAGAGTGAAAACTGATATTTGCATACATTTTATGTAAGTATTCTGCTATACTGTTTATAAAGATCTCATTGATTTACAAGCTATCAGAATTTCATACTTTTTGGCCATATAAATATCAGAAGCTGCACCAAATTGCATATTTTTGCTCTGTTTGAGGCTGAATGAATTTTTTTCTTCCTCATGTATGAGCTCCATATTATTATCTATATATCATCCATATGAGCCACAAGAGACTGAGTTATCAAATACGATACTCAACAAATAACACATATGCAAACTTTTATTTTAAGATTTGATCAAATGTTCAATAAACTGTTCCCCAAAAAAAAAAGTTTGGACTGAATAGGTGACTATCTTTCTACAGTCCTGCCCACAAGTCAATGCAAATGCTAAAAGGTCAAAGGTCACATGGTAGGCACATCGACCTTACCCCTTCTTCCACATCACCATACTGTCATGCAACAATAAACAACCAGATTTATCTGAGCATGCATTGCACTGTCACTCAAAATACAGTTAAATAAAACCACAAAATCAGTCCAGGCAAATTTTAAAAATTAATAATCAAGATCTACACAAGCACAATATACATGCTACACTCACTGTTGTACTCACCCTCTTCAAAACAAAGACAAATTGTTAAAATAAAATGTTAATTATGTAACATTTTGATTCTTTACAAATAAAAATAGATCTAAATAAAATAAAACCAACTCAAAGAAATTATATGGATCAATATATGCATATCTATAAACAGATTGATGTTTAAATATAACCAAACATTACCTGCAGTGTAATAGTCAACTAAATCATACTACACCATCAGTGATTCAATAATAACACGTAAAAAGTTTTGGGCGGGGCTAAAATAGCAAGACACTCTCTGATTGGTTAAGATATTTGATTTATTCTAATCACTGATAATTATTAATAACACTAATGTTTTACATTATTTTTTCACCCTCATCTCATTCAAAACCAATTTGACTTCATTTCTTCGGTGAAACACAAAATAAGATATTTTGCACAATTTGCATGCTGTTCTTTTCCATATAATGAAAGTGAAATGTAAAATTAAGCATGTCCCACAGAAAAAAAAAATCAAGCCAAAGGTTTAGGAAGACAAAATAAAGACTATATAATAATTTTGCACGTGAACTATCCCTTTACACTATAACTACATTCAAAATGATGACATTTCAGCATATTATGCCACACATCTGGTTAGGGATCAAATTAATCAAGTTTGAAACATATAAAGACCGAATCAGGGACAGATAAATAAACACAGGGACAAAGAAAGGGTTTCAGATCACCTCAATAAGGTTCCGCACGTGGGCATTGAGTGAGAGCTACACAGAGGGACAGTCACCACGGCAACAAGACAAAACAAAACAGACATCAACAAAAAGATAAATCAGACAACAACATGGTTTTGAACTTAAATACACACAAAGGTCAAATTAAATAGCAAAACAATGCCAGAAGTGTCGTTAAAGGGATAGTTCACCCAAAAATGAAAATGTGCTGTCCATTTACTCACCCTCAGGCCATCCAAGATGTAGCCGACTTTTTTTTTTTTTTGAGTAGAACAGTAAAGAAGATTTTTAGCTGAAACTGTGGTCCTTGGTGAAACGGTAGTCAAAGGCTACCGTGACTTTGAGAGTCAAAAAAGCATATACAGGCAAGATTAATACCCGTGGCTCCTGACGATATATTGAGGTCTTACGAAGCGAAACGATTGGTCGGTGCAAGAAACTGAACATTATTTCTAACATTATTACCTCTAATTCATAGCTTCAGGCAAACAGGGAAATCGGATTCTTTTCCACAAACTGCTTCTTTCGGATAGTTCATTTAAATGTACTAATTCAATTCACTCATTTGTTTACGTAATCATGCAATGACGTACAGTATATGCAATTATATTATTAAAGCACCCAATAATGATGTGAAACGTGGATGTTTTACATATCCAGAGCATATAGTGAATAAACTTGTCTCTATCAACTCGCCTTTTTACATAAACAATGAGAAACCATAAAACTTTCATTTGGCCCCTTCAAGTGCTTAGCTCACGTATGCGCATATCAGCGGCTCATTGGTCTTCGGTCCGAGTCAAGCGGAGTCAGATCTGGAGCCCTGAATGAGTGACGTGACGTGTGGCCAAGTATGGTTACCCATACTAGGAATTAGTGCTCTGCATTTATCCCATCCTAAGTGCACACACACAGCAGTGAACACACACACACCGTGAACACACACCCGGAGCAGTAAGCAGCCTTTTATGCTGCGGTGCCCAGGGAGCAGTCAGGGGTTTGGTGCCTTGCTCAAGGGCACCTCAGTCGTGGTATTGAAGGTGGAAGAGAGCACTGTACATTCACTCCCCCCACCTACAATTCCTGCCGGACCTGAGACTCAAACTCGCAACCTTTGGGTTACGAGTCCGACTCTCTAACCATTAGGCCACGACTTCCCCAATGAGTTGCCAAAAACCAGCATTACAGGATCATATACACTGATATTTTGGCTCGTTCTGAGTCTGAAAGTGAGTTTTGATTGAGTAACTTGTAGATCTGTGCTGCTCGAGTCGTGAACTGTTTCAGACGGTTCAGTCCGATGTGGTGAACTGGTTTATTCAGTTCACTAAAAAGAATCAGTTCAAAAGAATGATTTGTTCGCAAAACGGACATCACTCTGGACCGTTTGCCTGGATTACAGGTAATAATGTTGTAAATAATGTTCAGTTTCTTGCACAGACTGATCATTTCGCTTCATAAGACCTCAATATAGTATTACAATGGTTCAAAACAGATATTAACACTTCAATATTTTGGTTTATTAACATTACATCAGTTATTGAAATACGGAATTTTATTGTGAATTTAAGTTAAGTCTGTAAAACCTAAAATGTTGCTACCATATTTTTTACGGTGAAGTTCTGGCAACCACAGCTGCCGGTATTTTACCGTAAATGTCACAGTTTTTTTTTTTTTTTTTTTTTACAGTGTATGCTTTTTTGACTCTCAAAGTGCTGATAGCCCCTGACTTGCATTTTATGAATCCCCAACTACCAACTGTTCTACTGAAGAAGAAAAAAGTGATCTTGGATGGCCTGAGGGTGATTAAATTAACAGCAAATTTTCATTTTTGGGTGAACTATCCTTGTAAACAAAAATAACCATAAGGGTTGAACACAAAGGAACAAAGCAATGTTAAAGGACCATGTGTTACTACAGCGACGGACATGCTACGGTCATGCCGCTACCGACATGCTACTGAGGTCATGCTTACCAGCTTTAGAGAGAGCTTCTCACGGACGAAAAGAGAGAGCGATCGAGGGAATGAACCGAGAGAAGAGAGAAAACATCAGAGGGAGCAACATCAGACCAGTGTACACGTCATACACACGCATGCAGGTGTGTTCATGCCTTATGATGTCATTGATGAAGCTCACTACATCACAGTTCACTTTTGGCCAGCCGTCAGTATTTTGTGCTCCGTCATAAGACAGATTTCTGCTGGCAGAGCCATGGGAAATTAAGTTGAAAGCCTCACTTTGGCACTTGAAAGGAGAAAATGTCGCATTAGCAGAAGTACAGGCCTTCTATGCGCATTTATATTCCAGAACCTTGAAATATTCCAGAATGTTCTAAACATTTAAAGGGACAGTCCTCTAAAAAAATGAAAATTCTGTCATCATTTACTTACCCTCATGTCATTCAAGACCTGTATGCACCTCGAAAGCATACGTAGGCCGACCGAGAGTCCTCTTCATGATTTCTTTATTATAATAGAGAGACTGGGCAGACTGCAGCAAAGAATAAACCCTAATTAAACACACACACACTCACGCATAACTATACAAACACACACTCGCTCGCACACACCATCACTCTACAAACACACTTTAATACAAAAATATACAATAAAAACATTTGTACACTAGAACAAACACATACACACACTTGTGTCAATAAAACTGCATACATATATAATTCAAACACACACACACACACACACACACCTAACTGACTATCAGGCACCAAAACAAACTCACAGACACACTGATATCATTCTTCAAGATGTTCGCTGATTATTATAGTCTTACATAATAAATAAGTATGGACATGCTCTAGTGTGTATATTACAGTCTACTAGAGTAGCCAGCAAAAAATAACATACGTTATTAAAACAAATACAACTACTTCAATAACAATGCTCTAAAACACTACCACTGAAGTTTGGGGTCAGTAAGATTTTTTCATGTTTTTGAAAGAAGTCCCTTATATGTTCACCAAGGCTGCATTTATTTTATTAAAAATACAGAAAAAATAGTAATATTGTCAAATATTATTACAATTTAAAATAACTGTCTTCTATTTGAATATATTGCCAAATGTAATTTATTCCTGTGATGCAAAGCAGAATTTTCAGCATCATTACTCATGTCATTACTCAAATCATTTTAAGAAACATTTACTATTATTATTATTATCAATGTTGAAAACAAAGCTTTTTAGGATTCTCTGATGAATAGAAAGTTCAAAAGAACAGTACTTATTCAAAATAGAAATCTTTTGTAAGATTATAAATACTGCATTTACTATCACTTTTGATCAATTTAATGCATTCTTGCTGAATATAAGCCTTCATTTTATTCTGACCTCAAACCTTCAAAGAGTAGTGTACATCAAATCATATAAACCATAAACACATATATTATAAATAAGCCGGGAGCACAAATGAAGACAATGACCGTGTCAAAGACCTTCATATGTTCAAGTTTATTCCTCTATTTTTAATCATTTGTGTCTATAACATCATTCAATATCTGATTCAGGCATCACTGTTGAGTCTGTATATGCTAAAAATGTGGACAATAAGTTTCATATAGCTCTGTCAGCATGATGAACCTTCCTGTTTGACGCAGGAATGGCCAAAAATAAGAAATGATAAATCTGTTTTTTGTTTTGTTCACTGACCATCAATTCTTTGAAAAGATACAAAATATGTGAGATTTGCACAGGGACATGGGAAAGCGGGATTTGCTCCGTTATCTGCTGTGTTTTGTGTCTGTTATCTTGCAAAGTCATTCAGAAGTCCGAATCTCAGCTCGCACATGCGGAAACACGCGGACGGCCTTCCTGAAGGGAAGGTGAATCTGGTCTGACTTTATCAGAAAGTCACATGTCAGCGTGTGTGTAAATAGAAGACATTGTTTCTGAGAGTTTGTGTGCGTGAAATCGCATTACTCAGGATAAACCCGTATGTTTGAGCACCCGTTTTTATTTGATCTGTCACCCAGGGTGCCTCTGACTGGCGCCCCGTGTCTGAAAACGTGAGACAGTGAAACCATGGTAAACGCAAACAACGAAACATAAACGAGAGAGAGAGAGAGAGAGAGACAGACTGACAGAGAGAGAGAAAGAGAAGGCAGAGTGGATTTCATCGGCTGCGTGAGGAGGAGGAAAAAGGAGCCGAAAGATATAAACAATTCCACTGCTGCTTCCAGAATCCAAGTCACTGCATGACATCATCGCCTGCGGAATCTGAGTCACACTGTGACATCATCGCTTCAGAAGCCAATGCTGCCTTCAAAGTCGATATTTAGTCAAACTACTGTAGGAAAAACCTTTCAATTTCATATTTCATTCTCACATTTCCACAAAGACAGGAAGAGTTTTTAGCACTATTGCAACAAAATAAAGGGTGAGGAATAATATAATTTAATTTAGCATAATTTAATATAATACAATATTCAAATTTAAGCTTTTTTTTTTTTTAGTAAAAAATCCGTTGTTTTCTAAAATGCTTGCTGTGATGGCTGATGACGGCCATATTGGGGCCTGTATTTTGTTAACTAAAAATAAAACTATTTAAAAAAAAAAATGCATTAATTAAAATTACATTGAAATTAAATAACATAATATGGAAATAGCATAATAACATAAATTTGGATAAGTTCAACTTAAAAACTTAGCAACTAACTGAAATAATAAGTTTAAGTACTAAAGTTACTAAACCTAAAACTGAAATAAAATAAATAAAAGCTAAATAGAAATATATATGAAAAATAATAATAAAAATGACAAAAGCACATAACAAAATTACTCAAACGTAAATGAAAATACATAAAAATATATAAAAATATTAAAATAAATATTACAATATAATTAAAAAAAATCTAAATCTAAAATAAAAAAAACCTAAAACTGAAATAAATTAAAGCTAAACTGAAATTGAAAAAACTAATAAAAAGACAAAATAACATAACAAAATTACTAAAACTTAAACAAAAAATACATAAAATAAAAAAGTAACAATTTAAATTGAAAATGAAAGTGTAAATATAAAATCTAATTCAAAATATAAAATTAATAAAATTAAAACTGAAATAAAACAAAGCTAAATATAAATATTTTTTATAAAAATAACAAAAGCACATAAATATTAAAAATAAAAAAGTAAAAATTGAAAAAGAAAAAATTTAAAATATAAAATCTAATTCAAAATATGAATAATAATAATATTAAAATAACACTGATTGGGGCAGTGATTCTTGGTTATAAAAAATAATTGTAAACATAAATACCAAATTTATTCAAAATCTATTTTATTCAAATTTACAATTATTAACAGTATTAAAAATGAATAAATATAAATAAATAAATATTATTGATAGGTCTATAATATTATAGATAAATAAAAAATAAAATATTTTATAATATAACCATTGTATCTTATCCAGAAACCAGAATTAATTTAATTAATTAATTAATTAAAACTAGAATCACTGCCAAATAAATAACATAAAATAAAGAAATAAATTAATAAAATCTTTTTTTCCTTATGAAATCATCTCAGGGCACAGAAAAATCCCCCTAACTGAAGAATTACCTACATATGATTATTCAGTCATGACTTAAAAGCAGCATTAGTCAAATCAATGGGTTGTTTTGCATTTAGAATATGATGCAAAAACCACCTCAAAATGATCATTCGGCTCCTTTTTCTTTATGCAAATGAACACTGACATGACAGCACAGGCGATGACAGGCACAGAGCGGCACACACACACACACAAATCGATCCGGAAAGAGGTGAACAAAAAAGGAGGGGGAACACAAAACAAGAGAAATAAGGACCCAAAAATGAAACGAATTAATCAATTAATCAATTAATAGAACAAAGGAGAACGCAAACTTAAAAGGAACGTAAAAGAAACGGCAACTGAAAGAAACGCGCTGCAGCTGTGGTGTTATTAACCCTGTGAGCGAGAGAGTTAGTGCGTTAAACTCTGTCCTGTACATCAGGGGTCACATGCAGGGGTCAGATCACTGCAGAACCATTTGAAGGGACGGTTCACCCAAAAATAAATGTCACCTCAGTGACTGTCTTCCGTGGAACATAAAAGGTTCTTTTTCAATGTAATGGAAGCAAATGGGGACCATGGGTTTCAAAAATGACAAAAAGCCCTGTAAAAGTAGTACATATGACTATATTCCAGGTCTTCTGAATACAAACAACAGCTTTGTGTGAGAAAAAGACCTAAAGTCATTATTCACTAATAATCTGTCACCGATAATTCACCTTTTTGTCAGTTAAGTTTAAATTTTAAGTACTTTTATTGGTAGGATTGTGTTTGCATGACAATAACAATAATCAAATATTACTGAAATAATTAATTAATTAATTAATTAATTTTATTTACAGTATATATATATATATATAGTCATTTATCAATATATTATGAAGAAAGAAAGAAACAAAATAATACATTTATTTATTTACTTATTTAATTTATTTAAAAATAGAAATATTAGTTTAGCAAATGTAAAAAATGATATTAGAAAAAAACATATATTAGAAAAAATTCAAATTAACAAGTGTTAAAACAATACATTATGAAGAAAACAATAAAAATAAATAAAATAAAAATAAGATTCAAACATTCAATACATTACAAATAAAAAAAATGTAATATATGCACATGGACGGACTTAGTTGGTTAGCAGCAGTTGGTTTCTGACGGTGTGCAGCTGAAAAATGAATTTTAGCTACAGTTAATGCACTGTCTTCCACCAGTAACATCTGCATTTGATCTGTTTTTTTAAGAACTATAAATCTCTGGCAAAGTATTTCTCGCCTTTTTGTCACTTTTTGAAGTTTGACAGCCATGGTCACCATCCACTTTCATTGTATGGCAAAAGAGCAGCAGAAATATTCCTTTTCTCTTTTTGTGTTCCATGGAAGAAAGTCAGTCAATGAGGGTGAGCAGACGATGACAGCGTTTTCATTTCTGGCTGAACTGTCCCTTTAACAAACATTGCATGCACAGCACACACACACACACACACACTCCTCTACAGCACAAAAACTGATTTCACTGATTTCTCTCTCTCTTTCACTTTCTTATTAGCGAGCTCCCCAAAGCGTAATGGAGAAATTAATGAGCGTGCGTTCTGGGAGAGCTCACATTAACGGTTCAGTTCCCAACAGACTAGACAACCTGCTAAAACATCACAGACAAAATCTGCCCTCTATGCATTAGGGAAAACCGAGATAAGTCGAAATCTACACAAGTGTGCCCAATACCACAGGAAATCAAAATTACGTGTGCAATAATGCACTTACGATGGAAGTCCATTGAGCAATGTGTCGCATAACCAGAAGTAGTCCTACCACTAAAAGAATGATTTACACAACTTTACAGCTCAAATAACATATTTTGCACAAAATAAATAATAAATATGAGATGCACATTTTTTATTTTAACCCTACCAGAATATCTTGCCCTATTTTAGTATTATTTATATACTATTAAAGCATTAATTCATATTTTGAATTAGCTTTTATTTTATATTTCCATTTTAATTGTGGTTTAATTTTTACAAATGTTATGTGCTATTGTCATTTTAAATGGTAATTAAAATAGCTAAATCTATTAAAAAAAACTTTAGTTAAAAATAATTGATAAGAAAAAAAAACAATAAGTAGAAATAAATAACAAGCATAAATTCCTGGCTTTTCAATTACACTCTCAAAAATAAAGGTATTGCTATTTACATTTTATTTTTTATTTATTCAATTATTTTTTGTAATTTAAGTACATCAACCTGTTTTATTTATATATAAATATATTTGTTTTATTTCAGCTTTATTTTACTTAACGCGAAAATTATTTCAATGTTTTCGATCTACTTAACAACACTCCTGGCCCACAGACTTCCCATGTAAGAGCATTACTGTAAACAGCATTTCTCCTTGTTTTTTCAAAGTTGAGCTGATTCCTGTGGTAATCAACAGCATGTCACAGATGCTGCCAACACAGCTTAACTCGTACTGAACCCAGAAGATTCCTATAATCTTTACCGTCATACATAAACACAAGAAACATTTCAACATCTAACCCTCTAGAACATTCGAATTTTGTCAATATCACCTGCTTTCATGCATAAACACCATTAATCAGATCCAGCTCTGCACGAGATGTGTATGCGTTTAGTGTTTAGACGAATATTATTGAATGTGGTTTCTAAGTAAAGTCTCCTAATAATGTTTTGTGTTATTCCTGACCACAAACAGACACGTTACACACACAGGATAGACGTGAACTGACAAACACAGGCTATGATTGGAACAGCATACTACATACTTCTATTACCATTTAGGCACTATGTGCGATATGCAAATGTCCTGCTACTGTACATTTGCCAAAATGCGCAGCATACAACAAAACACACCACATGGAGCATGATATCCCATAATGCAATGCGCAAAAGTTCCATTTCCAGTGTGAAGAGAATATAAACTGCAGTATTTCACAGCCAAATGTCGCTACAGTTTTACACAAAACTAAAGTGCAACAAATGCACTAAAAATGCAAATAACCATATTTAATTCTCATATAACATCTGGATGCCACTTGCCGAATTAAATATGATGTGATGAGATCATGTGAGCACAATATATATTGTAATGTTTTGCATAAATTAAAATAAATATATAAATATAGTATGCATTTATGTACTGTATTTGAAAGTCTCTTATGCTCACCAAGGCAGCATTTATTTCATAAAAAAATACAGTAAAAATAGCAATTTTGTAAAATATTATTACAATTTAAAAGAACTGCTTTCTATTGTAATATATTTTAAAATATAATTTATTCCTTTAATGCAAAGCTGAATTTTCAGCATCATTACTCCAGTCTTCAGTGTCACATGATCCTTCAGAAATCAGTCTAATATGCTGATTTGCTGCTCAAGCAACATTTCTTACTATTATTCAGGTCGAAAACAGTTGTGCTACTTCATATTTTGGTGTTTTCTTAATATTTCGTGTATTCTGAATGAATAGAAAATTCAAAATAACAGCTATAACATTATAGATGTCTTTACTATCACTTTTAATCAATTGAATGCATCCTTGCTGACTAAAAGCATTCATTTCTTTCGTATTGACCTCAAACTAACTAAACAATCATAAACAGTATACAGTATATACTGCACAGTATGAACTAGTTTTCCATTCCGCCCATAGCCACACAGACACACCTCATTAAATATATATGACAGTGTTAATGCTCACATCCTGGTCCTGCGAGGTTAGGTGGGGTTTGGACTGAGCATGCTCAGTAAGAGCGGAGCCTTTGACACAAACGTCAAAGGTCACAAGAAGACAGAGGAAGACGAGGAAAAGGAAGAAGAATGTGGTTACCATGAGAACAGCACCGATGGGCGGCCGGAGAAGGAAGTTACTCTCGGTTTGAAAGGACAACACAGGAATAAAGGCTTTAGAGTTACGTTTCTCTGCAAAGGTCAAAGGTGAGGCCTCTCGGACCGGTGCATTAGTACGTCAGGATGAACGTGGAACGTATTTTCGTGCAGGTGAACACAGGGAAGGGAAAGGAAAGGAGAACGATGGTGGCAAACGAATAACAGCATCTACAGATACTTCAATAAAACTAGACAAATTCAAACTAATAAACAAGCACAAACTAAAACAAAACTCACATAAACACATAAAACAATCACTCTCATGAGGTATCAGATCAGTCTGTGCTGTTCATATTTACTTGAGTTTTGTTTTCAGTCCAATCCAAGTAACTGCGAGTGAATGTGACGCCGGTGTGTGTTACCTTGTTTTTCTTAATGAAAGGCCAGAGAGTTTTGCTCTTGCCCTTGCTGGAACGGTCCGCTTTGCTGTCCGAGCGTGAGTTAGTGAGGCTGGTCTCAGACACCGTCCTCTTCATCGCCTGACCATAGTCTTCAAACTCCACATCGCCAGGAGGCTCGAACCCAGACTTATACGACTCTATGACCTGAGAGGAGTCCTGCGGGGGAAAGACAGCACAGATAGTCTTAAAGGGGTCATATGATGCTTTTTTAAAGATCATTATTTTGTGTATTTGGTGTAACAGAATATGTTGACATGCTTTAATCGGGACGAATATCGCGCGCGATTATCGCTGACGTTTAACGCCTCGTGACTAAACAATGGGCGCCAATGTGAGTGTGCACACCGACGTGCAATATGCGAGGCGCAAAAGCGTAATTTTTTAAAAAACGCCTCGGGCTCGTTTTTTTTGTTTGAAGCGTCGCATTAAAAACTGGCCGACCAATGAGATTGGCGCTTTTGTTCACGTGCCTGGAGCTGCTGAAGTTACAGTAAAACACGACTTGGTGGCGCTCAAGCACAAAACGGTCTTGCCGAGCACACATTTATACCTAACAACGAAGAGGAAGTAAGTAGACCAAGAAGATGCATCGAGGCAAGATGAATGTAGGTGCTGGTCTCATTGGTGTCTGAACACAAAGGGCTTTATGACAAACGCGACAGCGACTACAAAAATCTCGATAAGAGGGAGTTGTTATGGAGAGGAATTGCAGATCAAATAGCAACCCTGCTTTGAAAATAAACTGATATAAATAAGCTATTACTATTGCTATGAAACGAACCCTTCCCAATAATATATTTCTTGACATTTTTTGTTTCTTTTTGAGGATGCCTCTAAAAGGAGGTTTTGTCAGATTTAGGTCATTTCTGAAGATGTTTTGTCCTAAAAAGCAACTGTATAGTCAGAGACAACAACCACTTGCCGTTTCATTTGCAGAATATATTATATCTATATCTAGATACATCATTTCTATAATTTCTAAAAACATAATTGCATTGTCAGTAAATAATTAAAAAGCCAGAAAATATATTTGAAAAACATTTCAGAGATTCTTGATTTCATCAGAGGAGATTTAAGAGTCTTTATAGACGGCATATTTAATTTGTCGCAAACGATAATAAGGCTGTAAAGGATAAATAAAGTACAAAGACTTCAATATGTCATATTGTGTCACTATTACTTATATCCTTATTTCAATATTATATTACTGAAATTTCTAGCACATAAATCTGAAACAACATGTGTTTCAAAAACTAAACATGAGCTAAGTTTGGGGCCAGTAAGATCTTTTTCTTTTTTTAATACTTCATTTTTTATTAGCCAAGAAGGCATTAAATTGATCAAAAATTAAATTTGTAATGTTACCAAAGATTTCAATTTCAAATAAATGCTGTTTTTTTTTACTTTCTTTTTAGCAAAGAATCATGAAAAAAGTTTCAGCACAACTGTTTTCAACTGTTAATAATATTTAATGATAATAAATGTTTCTTGAGCAGCAAATCAGCATATTAGAATGATTTCTGAAGGATCATGTGACACTGAAGACTGGCGTAAAATAAATGACATTTTACAACATATTCAAAAATAACGTTTTTTTGTATTCCTAATCAAATAAATGCAGCCTTGATGAGCACAAGAGACTTCTTTCAAAAGCATTAAAAAAACGTTTAAACAACAGTTTTAGACATTTCACAGTCTTGATTTCTGCATTTTCATAATCTGCAAATTATGCTTGCGTCATATGAAGGATCAGGTATCAGTGATTTACGATAATCTAATCAATTTGAATAAACAGCCAGAGACTGATCCTGGATCAGTGTTAGAATCAGTAATAGGGTCAGTAATGTCTTGTTCAACCCAGATTGAGTTTCTATGCGAGAATGAGAGGTATTTCAGACAGAAAGTCACGAGTGAGTCTGTATGAGTGTGTTACTAACATTCTTGGGTTCGATGGACTCGGCCGCTTGTGTTATTCCATCCAGGCATTTCCCGATGATGGGCAGAATCTGTCGGTCGACCTCCGCAAACGTCTTCAGCGACTCACCCATTCGCTCGATCCTCTTCTCCTCCATCGCCTGGATCTTCTGCTCACAACACACACATACAGAGTTAGTGTGTGTATTTCTAAATAGAGAGCTGCGAGATCATGCAAACTGCCTTTTTTAGGTGTGTTTATGCTGTTACCTAATTTGCATCATTCACAATAGTGAATTCAGAAATAAAGCAAATAAATGATGATATTAAAATCTAATTCATTCTCAGTGCATGTTTCTGTGCGTGTGTGTGCACCTGGAAAATATTAGGGATGATGGTGTAATAATGTTCGTTCTGTTCCTGGTTGAACTTCTGCAGGTATGAGGAATATTCATTCTTGCTGTCAGAAGCCATCTGGTGTCTCATCTGAGCCTGCTGCCGTGCCTAAAAGAGAGAGAGGATGAAATATTACTGATTATGCAATATCATTTTATTAATTATACCCCTAAAAACACACAAACTTAAACACATGCAAGCCTACACATGATTTCACATCTTCCTACATCCTTGCGACAACATTCACATTCAAAATAATCATGCATTTGCATGATTTTCTAAATTCGTAACCAACTCAAACATGTCTTATGTTGAATATTCAGTTATGAGATTTTTAACCAATGACATTTCATTGTAGGCGGGGCTACCTGGTGCGATGATGCAGAAATCAATAAAAAGACAAAGGGAATGTAGTGCACTCAAAATAACACACTTTTGTTTTCAGACTCAATGACTTCCCCTAAATTTACTCACAAACCTCAAAATCCACCCGCACTGACTCGCATCAGAATATAAACACCTTCAGCTTGATCTAATGCGATTCTAAAGTATATTAATGCATTTTAATGCACATCGTTTAAGTGAGAGGACGATACAGAGAAAGCAGCGTCATGTTAACCACATCCGGATCCGATTCTAGGAAATCACTCTGGTTAACCTGTGGTTCAGTGTTGCCATGGAAACACTCTAACTTCACCAGCAGCAGACATGTGCATGAGCTGACGGGAAGTTCAGAAAAATATCCCCGAAAATTATATTTGCACTGAATGAAAATGTATCAAAATAATTTAGAGCAGATTTGTAGTTGTATTTGATTAGATTAGAGTGATCTGTGTCTCAAAGGGTTAGTTCACCCAAAAATGAAAATTAGCCCACAAATTACTCACCCTCAAGTCATCCTAGGTGTATATGACGCATGTATATGCAGGCGCAAGCTACATTAAAGTGATTATTACGTTTTTAATATGGATATTTTTCTTACAAAAACGCATTGATTCGCTACAGGAGGCCTTTGTTCACCCCCCGGAGCCGTGTGAGACACTTTACTTGAGGGTGAGTAATTTATGGGCTAATTTTCATTTTTGGGTGAACTAACCCTTTAATATCACTGCTTGTGCATTCAATTTTTTTCTTAAATATAAGAATATTTAAATGTAATGATATTGCATTCAAATATTTACATAATGTTTAGAATATATAACATTCATTTAGTTTGTATATTTTTTTATTTCATACAAAATGAAATAAATAAAATCTACAATATATAAATACAATACAATAATATCTTATTTTTATTTTTATTATTATTTTTAATTGTATATTTTTGTATTGGAAATGTACATTTCATATTATAAATTATAAATCTTATTTAAGTATTTAAATGAGCTATTCTTACATTTAAATATTCTTAAATTTAAGAAAAATTAAAGCAGTGAGTGATATAACTTCATACAAAATGTAAAATAATAACATACAAAATATAAATAAATATAATACAATAATATATTATTTTTATTTTATATTAAAAATGCACATTTCATATTGTATATCATAAAAGACAGACAGATAGATAGATAGATAGATAGATAGATGGATAGAGAGAGGGACAGAGAGAGGGACAGACAGAGGGACAGACAGATAGATAGACAAGACAGACAGACAGACTATATAATATATAATATATTCTATATAATTATATATCATCACTTCTGTCTTATTACTGTTAAAATATTCCCAGTGGCGAAACTGGTGTTTTCTTCTTCAAGAATCCTGGATGATGTATGATTCCTTATCAGACACTCTTACCTTCTCCACGTCTGCTTTCGTCACGTTGATGTCTGCATCCAACTTCTCAAAGTGCAGTGAGTGATATAACTTCATACAAAATGTAAAATAATAACATACAAAATATAAATAAATATAATACAATAATATATTATTTTTATTTTATATTAAAAATGCACATTTCATATTGTATATCATAAATATTATATTTCTATTTATGATTAAATATTAAACTAAATATTAAAAATGTAATATTCATACATTTAAATATGACAGAGGGATAGACAGACAGACAGAGAGAGGGACAGATGGACAGACAGAGGGACAGACAGACAGACAGAGGATAGACAGACAGACAGAGAGAGGGACAGAGAGAGGGACAGATGGACAGACAGACGGACAGACAGACAGATAGACAGACAGACAGACAGAGAGAGGGACAGATGGACAGACAGACGGACAGACAGAGGGACAGACAGACAGATAGATAGACAAGACAGACAGACAGACAGAGGGACAGAGTTTATGCGTCTCAGTGTAAATAAAAGATGAAGTCAAGATGCATTGCATTGTGGGATGCAGTACTCTGGTTATATGCATCGTCCAGGTATTCCATGCATTCATAATCCAAATACTGTACATAGTGTACATACTGTAAACTGCAGAAATAATATGCTACTCAAAATGCAGTCACTCACTAATTGAGCCAATGCAGCTGTTGTACCTTTACTGACCCTGAAACGTCTGCGTTTCTCATTAACGGAAGAGATCTGAAAGATTGGCTTTGCATTGGACTCCTTACCAGACACTCTTACCTTCTCCACGTCTGCTTTCGTCACGTTGATGTCTGCGTCCAACTTCTCAAAGTACTGCTGGGCTCGATCTGCTTCCTTACAGTCCCGCTCAAACTTCCTCTTACACTGCACACACACACACACACACACACACACGTGTGTTAAAGCATGGCAGAACACACTGCTCTAGATTCATGTACACACAAATGTTCAGATGCAGAGCGATGTTGCCTGTCCTGTGTGACTCCACAGTCCTACACACACACACACACACACGGTCGAGTTTCCACACAGTGCCACGGCAGCAGTGTGAGACAGTGATGGATGTGTTAAGATGAAGTGAAGGGAAAAACAGACACATGTGAATCACTCGGGCTGTATCAGTTTCACACACACACACACACACACGTGTGTTAAAGCATGGCAGAACACACTGCTCTAGATTCATGTACACACACATGTTCAGATGCAGAGCACTCAGAGTTTAATTAGCACACTCACACATGAACAGATGTGTGAAGTTCTGCAGTATAATAAACGCTCATCCAGTATCACACTGTTTATCCTTCATCTCACTCTCACACTCATTTATCTGAAGGGACAATCAACATTTGTGTCCGCACTGACCATTGAATCACCCGATCACGCAAACACACACACAATGAGCTCATTCTTACACACGGACACATACAGGCAGGGCTCTCTCGTTCTCTCACATACACACACTGAATCAACAAACAACCAGAGCACTCTGCTAACAACGACACAATCCATCTCTAACACCACACACTCTGAGACAGTGGGTGCACAGGAAAAATGGATAGAGGAGCAGAGGGACAGAGAGAGGGACAGACAGACAGATAGACAGACAGTCAGACAGACAGACAGAGGGATAGACAGAGGGATAGACAGACAGACAGAGGGATAGACAGACAGACGGACAGACAGATAGACAGATAGATAGACAAGACAGACAGAGGGACAGACGGACAGACAGAGATAGATAGATAGATAGATAGATAGATAGATAGACAGAGGGACAGAGAGAGGGACAGACAGAGGGACAGACAGACAGACAGACAGACAGAGGGACAGAGAGAG